CTCCAGAAGCTCACAGCCTGTAGACAAAGGGGCTGAGTGAGCAGTCCTGGGTGGGAGAACTCAAGCAGAGAATGCAGGCAAAGGAACTGGATTTGGTGAGGCCACATGACCACTTGCTATTTTTAAACCACACTGTTGCTAAGAGGAGATATCTAGTAAACCTTGAACCAAAGAACAAAAAATGCACATTTTAATTAAGAGCTCTTGAAAAGGAAACCTGCAACAGGAAAGAAAGGTAGTGAAGGCTAAGGGGAAAGAAAAAATAATAGGAGAGAGATTTGAAGTATGTGTTGCTTTTCTGTTTGGATCCCAAAAGGTTTTTTTGTTGAAAAACAGGAAGAATATCTTTTTTGTACACACATATATGCAGTTTCCCAGCACAACAGTGGTTGAATAAAATAACAAGTTAAAGAAATGAAAAGAAAAACCTTGAAATAGGGAGGGGGTAGAAAGAGAGAGAGATCATTTAGCATAAGAAATCAGAACAGGTGGGAGTAATTTTGTATGTGTAGGTAGCTAAATGTCATAAAAATTAGCCTCCATTAGGTTAATAACCAGAATGCTGGAATGAAATCCAGGGACACGAAGAGCCATGAGAAGAAGGGGTGCCATGTAGGGTTTTTGGTGAGACTAAATGAAATGAGATTTTCAAATATAAGAGTAAAATCTGTGAAACAAGTTTGCAACCTAGATGCTCTCTCCCCAAAGCATTCCACATGGTAAGTTATAATCACAAAACAGAGATAGCATTTGAAATATATTTTCTACAGGGGAAAAATAAATGAGGACATCACCTTGAGTCAACATATTTATAAGGAATTACCTATTTTGGAAATTAGAAATAAAATCTTATATAAAGCCCTTTCCCAAGAGAAATGAAAGGTAGAATATACTGGAAATGTACTTTTTAAATGAGATTTGTTATACATTACAGGTTGTTTAATGTCATATCAAAGGTGCTTCAGAAATAACCAGGCAATCTCACATTATTTTATCGCAGTCAGACGAGGCACAGGGACCTTGCCTGCACTGCACACCCTGGCATACTACAACTGACACATGGCAGGCGTGCAACAGATGCTTGTAGACTAAAAGAATGAAGTGCAGCTGTTTCTACCCTAGACTCACAGCTTGCACTAACTAACCATGTGTCCAGAGGCCAGGTCAGGTGCAGTGTGCAGACAGCAGGCCCCCAGCCTGGATGCCACATCTGGCCAGGTCTGAGCAGCAGGGGGAATTTCAGGTGGATATGAGTCTGCTCTTCTTGCACCCGTCTGTGCCAGCTCAGCAGAAACCAGACAGTCGGCTTCAGGGATCAACAGTACCATTCCCTTCTAGGCTAACTCCCAGGGCAGCTGTGTCTTCTACAGGCCAAGCACTTCTAGTGTGGGCTATGACCTTTCCAGGGCTACTGTCTGGCCTGCAGCTAATCCATCCTTGAGACAAGCTTAGCTGAAATAGAACACAGCTAAGCAATTTCTCCCCATCCCCTTGGGTTACAATGTTTCATTACCCCAACTTGATGGCCAGCAGGAAGAAGAGCTTGTGAGTGTTAAATACCCCAAACACACGGGGTGTGGACCAGACACCCCATGTGTGCTGGCTGCTTGACTATCCTCCTTGGCACCACACTGCGCTCCCTGTTGTGTCCGGAAGCACCTTGCCTGTGTCTGTCGTCCCTGCATGTTCAGGGAAGCAGAACATTCAGTCTGTAGAAGAACTAAGCTCAAGAACGTATGTGGCAGAGATGCGAGTTAGCCTTGGGTATGTGTACACTCATACAGGACTTCAGTGCTGACATGGCCTATGCTACAAACCTGGATGATCAGAATCCATGTTCATGTTTTATAGAAGCAGTTAACTGACAAGGGCAAACGGATGGTGAATAACAAGTCAGAGGGATGGAAATGTTTGGTGCTAAATAGAGGCAGTGCTGCAGTCCCTAACCCCTGGGCTGAGGATCAGTACTGGTCAGTGGCCTGTTAGGAACCAGGCTGCACAGCAAGAGATGAGCGTGGGTAGCCGAGCATGTGAAGTTTCATCTGTACTTACAGCCACTCCCCATGGCTCACATCACTGTCTGAGCTCCGCCTCCTGTCAAATCAGCAGCACCATTGGGATCTCACAGGAGCAGGAGCCCTACTGTAAACCGCACGTGTGAGGGATCCAGGTTGTGGCTCCTTATGAGAATCTAATGCCTGATGATCTGAGGTGGAGCTGAGCGGTGATAATAGTGCTGGGGAGCAGCTGCAAATACAGATTATCATTAGCACAGAGGTTTGACTGCACAATAAATGTAATGCACTTGAATCATCCCAAAACCATCCCTCCTCCCCCAACCGTGGAAAAATTGTCTTTCATGAAACTGGTCCCTGTGCCAAAAAGTTTGAGGACCACTGTTCTTTGCTACTACATAGTTCACTTTAAAATGGTTAAATCAGTTTTGTGAATTTCATCTTGATTAAAGATAAAGGAATAGAGCAAATATTTGAACCCTGATCTTCTGAACTCTGGAATGTACACACTTAAAACTCTGTGCCTAAGGAAAGGGTGCCAGAATGTGGGAAACAAAAACAGGGCAGAGCAAGCCAGTAGAAAACAAACTGCAAACGTGAAGACAAACATCAAGTGCACACACTGTAACCGGCACTGGGGTCACACAAACCCATGAGTTATGAGCCCAGTCCAGAGGCACTCGTGGGACAGTGATACAGTACACTGGTGTTGTTAGTGAACACTATCCAGGGTGCTGTGTCACAGCCAGAATGGGGAAGGAGGAATAAATCCTCATGGAGAAGACTAAACCGTGGGAGGCTTCCCCACCAGCACGGGGAGCCTGCCATGCGGAGAACTGGGGAACGAGGAAGAGTCAGCTGCGTGAGCCAGCACAGACTGCGCAGTGGGAACTGCGAGGAAAAGCACCGCTTCACATTCAGGCATGCCACTGATGCCAGGCACTGTCTCGGGCACTGGGGATTCCAGTGTTTATAAATGGTTGACCTCATGAGACTCGTGATAAAGAAGAGAAAGCTGGGCAAGTATCTTGGAAATCTACTGCTTAAAGGTGGCTAAGAAGCTGGAATTTGTTCCTGGTGATTTTAAGCAGAAAAATGACATGAAAATTTAGAAAAAAGTGAGAACTGGATGGGAGAAGAGATGGAAAGTTTCTGCAGTGATTCAGATAAGCGTTAACAGACCTGGATTTGGGTGAGGAACTGGGAATAGGAGAGAAACAGAAAGAGCAGAGGCAGAAGCAGGAAGGCTAGTGGATGTGGCTGGGGTTTTCCAGGGAGTATGAGATTAGAAGACGTTAATCCATGTGAGAGGCATAGGACAACGCCTGGCCTATATTAAGTACTTGATAATGTCACCTGTCTCACATGTTACCTGTTGAACTTCAGTATTCTAACAGAGTGACTTGACTTCATTTTTTAGGATAGTGCACCCAGAGACCTTGAGAAGACAGGTGTGAGGAAACCAACCCAGCAGGCCTGAGTGACAAGGGCCACTCAGGCCTGCTGATGCAGGCCAGAGATGCATTCCCCATCTCTAGCTCAATGCAGACACTTTCAAAACATACGGCAGACAAGTGGACTGCATGAAGGAACAAACAAACAAACAAATACAAGAACAGCAATGACCTCTGCCTCCCAATCTCTGACAAAGCTGATCTGCTAAACAACTGGAGAAATGTTTTCCACAAAGAACACGTAAGAGGAGGTTGGTCGCTCCACATTTGTGTAAGAAGCTGAATTAAGGAAATAAAGCTTACTGATGAAAATTCATTACACTGAGAAGAACCAAACTATTTTATCTCCCTCTTATCCCATAACCATTTTGCTTCAACCCGACAAACTCTGTAATTAGAGTCAAAGTCCTTATGCCGCTGCCTCGTTTCCCAAGGAGCTTCTGCCTTTCTGCAGCCGCACAGGCTTTCTGCCGGGAACCCTGCCACGCAGGGCACTGGGGACTCCTGTTTGTCAGAACGAAACCACAGGGACACTGCCCACTTCCCTGTGTGTGGTCCCCATTCACAGGCAGGCAAACTTCCACCTCCTGCACGGGTCTCCCCCAGAAAGACAGGTAAAAAGAATGAATGCCCTGGTGAATTAAAAAAAATAACCTGTTTTGCTATTATTAGCCTATGTGCTAGAATATGCAGTATTTCTGCTGTAATACAATACATGTGCATTCCTGGAAAAGTTTCAGGTTTTATGAAATTCAGTACTAAAAAATAATAGAGCTTTTGGGAAAATTTGGTTGGAGCATTCTACTCAAAACCCATGGAACTTCAAACACAATCAAAAACAATAATTGATAACCCAGAGAGTTAATCTGGCCACTAGGCAAGTGGCTCCACATAGCTAGTGGTTACCACAGCAAGTATTAAAAGTACATAAAGGGGAGAAAACACAGTAGTGCTTTATTTTTATTTTATTATTTTTTTAAGACAGAGTCTCGCTTTGTTGCCACAGTAGTGCTTTAATTAGAGCAAGAGTGGCAGGTGCTGAGGTGGGCACAGGAAGAAGTGTAACGCAAGGCTGTGCCGGCACCTCTCTGGGGAGAGGGCCTCAGGGGCAGGCAGTCATTGTGATTTCACACACACACACCATACACAGAGTCACAGTAGCTCAACCAAGGACTTTTCCTTGTCCTACTCAAGGTCATAAGTCTACCCCAAATCTCCTTGTTCCCTTTGCCTAGGAAAAGTTATACAAACCAACGATACGTTTGCCTTCCACAGACATCTTGCCCCTTTTTACCAATCACATATGAGCCCGTCTGCATCACAGAACAAGACACGCAATATTTCAAGCTGTCCTCAGAAAGACTGGTTTGAGCAGGCGGGATACTGACAGCGAGGCGGCCGCTCATACTTCCCTGGGGTGGAGGGAGGGCCGCGCCCAGCTTCCCCAGCCCATGGTCTACACCTAGACCAGTAAAGACCACGAAAGAGATAATTCCCAGAGTCAAATCAACAGAAAAGTGCAACTACTTACATGTAGTATGTTGGATAGAGTCCTTCAAAATACCAGCAATGCTTTTTGGCTTCTGTGCACTGGAAACAGAACAAGACAAGCGTTGTCAGTAGCAAGTAGTCTGTACATTGTTGAGAAGATCTCACAAAGGCAACAGGGAGGAGGAGAGGCCACAGCTGGAACCCAGGGAAAGCCGGGAAATTGGGGCAGACAGTTAGAGGGAGTGCCACCTCCCCCCCATTACTTTTTATTTCTTTAAAATTTCTTAAAAGGGAAGAAAATAGGAAAACATCTATTTCCCCATTATTCTTCTAGTCTTTCATTATCTCTAAGCACATGGTGTGTGACCATTTCATTAAAAAGGTAAATTAGAGACAATCTATTTGTTAGAATTTACTTGGTATGATATTTCATATTACTAAAGAATACTAAAGTTTCACTACAAAGATTTCCATTTTCCCCAATTTTTACTCCCATAGTTTTAACATTTCTACGTGAAAGCAATATTCAGACCTACAGCTGAGAGACACTGTGAGTCAGGATTCACTTCCTGCCCTCCCTCTCTCACAACGGAAGACAGAGGAGGAGGAATAGGAGAGATGATGGGAGCCTCCCTGGGGGTCCAAGGAACTGTGAGTCACAAAGTTCCAGGGCTGGGACCCAGGCCCCACAGGGCAGGGCAGGGCAGGGAGTCCACAAGGCCCTGGAGCAGGGCCCAGGTGCCACTCTAGTGCCCCCACCCGCCTACAACCATGAGACCAAGCCAACATCACCAAGCGCTCAGGGAGGGCTCTTAGCAGAAAAGCGCATCTGAACAAGGCTTTTCAAAAATTATCCCATTCGTGCCATCATTTTTAAAAAAATTCACAACTTCCTACCTCCATGATCTAGTGTATTGGCCCTGTATGTAAATAAAACCTTCAAAACATTATAGTGCAAAGCTACCAGCAGCAGGAACAATAGCAAAGGCACGATGAAAGCAAAGCCATCTTTGGGCAAGGCAGGGGCTAACCATCCTGCCCAAGCCCCCACCAACAAGGTCAGCTCCACTCCACTGGCGGCCCCCACCCCTAGAAGATGCACAGTGATGCCTCCCGCCACAATCTGCCTGCCAACTGCCAGGAAGTTAGAAACAGACCCGAAACTACAGCAGCATGTCAGGGAGAGGTGAGTGCCAACATTACACTGGCTGAAACAGAGAGGTTATGAAAATGGCATGAAACACTGTACTTTTTGGAATGTGCATTAACATACTCAGAAGCATACTCAGGCAGCCCAAAGTGACCCAGTTTTATTAATGGAAAATGAGTTTAATTTAGACTAGGTTAGCTCCTGTCCAGTTTCAGAAATGAAGTTCAGACAGCTGAAGAAATCAGTTTATTTCAGTATGGAATGGCAATTTTAGGTCTCTGCCCCAAATTACAACTCATTTCACTAGTCTTCTGTGATAAACCAGTTTGTGTTCTGAGAAACCAGTATGTGTTCCACATGGCACTTAAGCAGGTCTTCTTTATTGTCCATCACCTCCAGAGACCAGAAAACTTCCTGAAACCTGATGTTCAAGTTCCACACAATCAAGAAACAGCCCCTTCCCCCATTGTGAGCAGCCAGAAACTCAGGGAAAGCAAAGCTCAAGCCTAAAACCCTCTGCTCCTGTGGCCTGTCGGCTCATGTGGCAGCCCTATAGAGACGGTCGGCAGGCCTGAAAGCCAGGGCTAGTGGTGCACAGGATAGTGCAGGGAAATCACAGAAGCTCCTGCCTCATATGACTTCTGTTAGGGTTTCTCTTAACTTGAAGGATTCCCTAATCAAAGCAGCTGCTTGTGTGATATTCCAGCACCACATCCCCTAACTCTTAAGGCAGCAACAAAAATTGCCCTAATGCATTGCATTTTAAAAAGATTTTTTTTTTGCCAAACAAAATAGTGTCACACATTTGAACTCACACTGTCTCTGAGATGTGTGAATATGGAATACCATTTTACAGATTAAAAAACGGGCCCCTGGTGGGTATCTTGTTCAGGGTCACACAGTTTCTCTGTGGTGGCAGAATTAACAACCCTCAGCATTGTTTTTCCTAGACTCACCAACATTATCCCGGAGACCCCACTTTCCTGCCCTGAGATGACAGAGAACAGAAAGAAAGCCGCAGGGAGGTGTGCCTCAACCTCTCCAACATGTAGCCACCTGTTGCAGGGGGGTATGAATCTGTGCATGCTGGTGTTTTAAAGCCACACAACCTTACAGAAAAGCAACGCATTGTGACGTAAACTCCCCAGCAATCTCATGCATGATTGCTGGGAGGAAATTTAGGAATATCTGGAAAACTACTAATGCAGTTCTCTTTCATGACTAATTTCCTCCACAAATACAAAACACTGCATCACCAAGGTTATTTACTATGGCATTATTTCTAATAGCAAAATCCTGGAAATGACATAAACACCTAGAGAAGGCTGGTTAATAAATGACGATGTCCCACACAATGGAGTATTTTGCAGCCAACAAGAATGAAGACAGTCTCTTGGAACCCACAAGATGATTTCCAAGACACCGTGGAGGTGAAAAAGCAATATCCAAAAGGGTATGAAGAGTATGCTATCCTTTATGGAAAATTGTACATTTGGCTTGCTTTTTACAAAAAGAATCATACATTACATGCATCAAAATATCACATGCACCCCACAAATATGTACAATTATTATGTATCAATAAAAAATTTTTAAAGAAAGAATCACAGGAAGAGTACAATAAGTGGAAAGCTGATCATAAGAATTGGGTCATTCTTGTCATACCCAACTAAACAGAGTGGCAAGCGAGGCCAGGGGAGAAAGCTTGCCCCAGAATGGAATTCTTGCAGGCCTGGCCACTGTCCTACTGAGCAGCTGCTGAGATCTCCTGCTCTAAGACTAGTTTCAACCACCACTGTCACTCACCAGTCACAGCTTACAGGCTCCCAAAACTTTACCAGTGCCAATGAACTTACTTTCAAAACAATAACATAGAATATTTCTCCTTATTAAAAACTTCCAAACTTCCCTTTGTTCTGAAGACATACTAAAGACTACCCAGTCTGTGGGTATGCCCTGACTTGCAATTCTTGTTCCCAAATAAAACAGTTTAAATTTAGAGATTCATCTCTGTATTTTATTTGACCCAGACAAGTAAAAACTAATGGTGGGGTGGGGAGGAAGAGACAGGGGTGATCTTTTTATATAGTTTAATTTTGAACTTAGGGTTCTTCCTATTCAAAAAAATAAAGTCCAAATGATTAAAAAAACACACCTCTTAGACTGAAAATATTTACTAAAGACTGTCAATGCATGAACACATATGACTTTCTGGCCAGAAGCAACCAACAGAGTAGATACCTGGGAAGTTAGTACTCACAAGAAACTCACAAGGAGAATGCTCTCTCCCCCCCTTCTGGCACCTTCCTGGGGCTGTCCTGGGTGAAGGGCACCATTTCTATCCCATTTCTCTGATCTCCCAAAATTGTCCTTCTGGCATTTTTGCTGGGATGTTCAGTAATTCTACTGGTGCCTACTTGTTGGCTACTCTTGCTTGCAGTTATTTGTTAATAAGCTTTACCATTTTTCACCAAGCTACCCACATAAAACATACAAGAGTGAGACCGTGTCTCTACAAAAAATAGGCAGATTGGCCAGGCGTGGAGGCCGGCCCAGGGGGGCAGACATATTTAACAAGCTACAGGAGAGTCATGAGTATGTATGAAAGGAGAAACATGCTCATGCACAGTCAAACTCCATACCCCTTTATGGGGTCCATGTTCAGGAAACAGTGGCCCTCTGGTGCCAAAGGTGACAGGAAATCCCTCTCTGTGCAAGCTCTGTAGACTGGTTAAAGCTACTCTGTGGTTAGTGGTCTCTTACCAGGAAGAAGGCTGGTTAGCTGTCATGCCAAAAGCACAAAGAGGGAGGAGCAGATCATGAGACTGGTTTCTGTTTAGTCCTTAAGGAAGAACTTGTCAGCCCTGACCAAGGAAGGGGTGTAAGGAGGTGTGTCCAACCTCACACCCCATCACAGCCAGGAAGTCAGTTTTAAGGTTTCTCTGGGGTCCCCTTGGCCGAGAAGGGGTCCCTTTAGTCAGCAAGGGGTGGGGGTAGGATTTTATTTTAGTTCACAGATCATAAAGATTAGTAACATACAATTTATAAACTATTAACAAAGCAGAGTATGTGGGGTCATAAGGAAACATCTACTGTGAGAAGCAGCTCAACTGAGGAATCTACGATGTAAACTGGAAAAGCATGTAGCATGTCTCTACATGAACACTCCAGGAGCCTATTATTCCAGGCACAGACGTGGTTAAGCCATCCTAAATATAGTCATCCCTCTTTAGCCAGGATCTAAATAAGCCTAAAGAATAAACCTTTACTAATCCCCAACAGTAATCCTCATGTTGACATAAATTACTCCACACCTATGTGTACTGGATAAAGGGGGACCCAGCATGTCACTGCGTAATAAAATGGCACATCCCTTTTCTATCCTAATTTAAAAGAATAGCTGTAACACAGTAAGACATGGTTGACTTTGTGAGAACTGCAGCCTATGACTCTTTGTCCTCCTGGGAGAGAAGAGAAGGGTCTAAGAGATTAAGAACAATGTGGATTTTATCTACATTCCCCTTTTTCTCCTTTTGTTAAGCATGAGGGATGAGGTCAGATCCTTAGATAAACAGCAGAAAAACTAGCAAATGGGCTAGAACTACCAACCCCTGGAAAGGGAGGATCCTTATTTTACTTATCACAGCAAGTTTTAGCCAGTCTGTCCTGGGCCAGAAAGTCCCAGATTTGCTGCAAAATGGTGGGACGCACCAGGGAGGACTGCGCAAGGATGCTCTGTCTGTCAAAGGGGAGAGGCTCCTGCTGCGCGTAGAGCTGCTTTCACATTCCTCAAAGCCGAACCTGACACACAGGCAGCAAGACGCTGCTGCTTTCAGGTCCAGCCCAATTAGAGTGGGTACTTCACATGGCAGACTCCCAACAAGGGGGCCTCTCCGCTGCTGGCAGGTCTGATGATCAGGACCAGGGACAGAGGCAAAAGGCAGAGAAGC